TGGAAGGTCATGGCTAAAATCTCTTTGATCACTTCCTAGAGGCAAGTACTTGCCTTTACAAAGTTGAACATGCAGCCATGAAAATGCTGGTGTCAGCCACTCATGAGCTCCTGCTTTCACCGTGGCTGTGCATTCTCAGGCTTCACAGGGATTTGGGGAGGATGCGCAGGGGAGAATGTGGTAATTACATTGTCCCCTTTGGATATTATCTCAAATGCAAAATTTTAATTTACTTTTAACTCAGGATAAATGTCCAATATATTTAATAAATGTAACCCAACACCCATCCTCATGCCTGAATTAGTGATACACCACTCAGAATCTACTGTGACTGGGGCTTAAGGGGGATTGCATCAGATATTGGTGCTGCAGTTCCAAATGGGTGGCAGAAACCACATTTTATTTTTATTGCAAAAATGTAATTTGGGAGCCCATTTCAGTTCACACTGCCACTTCTTGAGTGTATGAACTATTTTAGTGACAGATGAAGGTACTGTGCACATAAAGCCAGAGAGAATAAAAAATACTGGCTTTAAAAAACATATATATTTTTATTGGTACAAAATAGAACCATTTATAAATCTCCCTCCTCTCATTTCTCCCCTTTTTGTTTTCTTCTTTTTCTCTCTTGCAACTCTCACTTCTGCGGCTTGTGGGACATGCTTCTTTCTATTTGTTCAAAATCTAATACCACTTGGATGTCTTGTCTGCAGATGGACACATATTTTCTTTCTTACCATTCATTCTTAGCTTGATTCCATTAACATACATTTTTATATTTATTTGCAACCATCCTGAACAATTCTGGCTTATTCGGTTGTAAGCTATCACAGAGCAAGGGCTGCAAGCCTCAGGAAATTATATTCAATAAATATTTATCGACCGCATTGTGCTCGTGGGGCTAGAAGGCAGTCAATGAGATGTCTTTCTAGTTTATATATAAATCATCAGGCTGCCAGAGACAGGGGTCCGGAGGCTGTGTGAGAAGTGGATCACGTTCTCCATCGCAGGTTGTTTCAGTCCCACGGAGGGCCGCCAGCTCTGATTTGAATTGTATGTGGCCTCCCGGATGAAAACTTGAGCTACTGTTTTCCTCTCGCATGATTGTGCTTTATAAAAAGAACTCTCCTTGTAGTCCTTTAAGTCTAGCAAAATAGAAGGCTGCACAGTTTTTTAAACATACAGTGAAACAA